CAAACAGTATAAAAAAATTTGGTGACAATGTATTTGAGAAACAAACCCAAGTAAAATTGTTTACTGTCTTCTTTTTTTCTATAGTATTTTCACCTGGAATAAATAATTAAGAAGGGACAAATATGAAATACACAGATGAAATAAATCTTGAACAAAAGGAGAGAATTAATCTAAATAAAAGGTAGCTAAGAAGAATATAAATTTACATTGGTATAGCAAGTTCACCAAAATGACTGAACAATGTTTACAAAAAAAATTTCCGTAAGCTCAAAAAATTTCAATAATATTCTCTTTAAAAATAAGAGCTAATGAGAAGGAAAGATCAAGGAAAACATAACTCAATGAAATAAATTGAAAAGTAACCATGCTCAGCACAAAGAAAAAATAGAAGAAAAAGTGAGAATATTATAGAAGTGAGCACCACATTAAAGAACTTAAAAATCAACAGCACTGTGAACATTGTTAGGGAGCAAGATGGGTGGAATTAAGGAGTCCCAAAAACACAATAAAAATAACAAGCAAATGATAGTTTAAAAATTAAGAAAAAGTATTTTGAAAGCATAGACAGTTATCTGACTTGTGCTTACTTGTTGTTCTTGCAGAAAAGAACAGATCAAAGAGAAAAATAATTATTTCAACGCTAATAGAAGGAAACATCCTAGAAGTAAGGTCTTGAATCTTCAGCAAAAGAGCACACTATGTTTCTGGGGAAAAAATATGTTACAGAGTAATCATTAGGAAGATATGTCTTAGTGAAATTTCTGAACAAAAATTAAAGAACCATAAAGAGATGAATGCTGAGGCGGAAAAAGCAAAGGATGTACAAAATATAACACAGGTGAAGATCAGAAACATCTCAAAACAAACAAACAAAAAAACACAAAACACTAAAAGCCACATTAAAAAGGGGAAAAAAAGTTTGTACCTAAAAATTTTATTCTGACTAAGTTGTTTCTCAAATATAAAGGAGACAAAGAAATTTTCTCAAATTTTTTTTTAAAATAGAGAATATGATACCCACATATATAGGAATGCAATACTTCTTTATAAAATTTACTGAATAAAAAGTCTGGTCAACCAGAAAATAAACCAGAACTTCAAAATGAAGGAATACCTTCAGTTAAAAGCTTTGCTGGTGAACATTGAAATCATTTAATATATAATTGAACAGTTTTGAATTGTGTTTAAACATGGAATGAAAATATAAAAGTCGATAATATAAAGGTAATTATAACTAACAAAATGAGAGTTAGGTGGGAGGAGAGGAAGAAATACAAGTGATTATTCTCTTGTCTTTCATAGTGGTAAATTCATAGATATAATATAGAGATAAAATATAAGATTAATAAAAATATTCATTTTCTTAAATGTTTTTATGAGTTTTTTTATTGTAGTAAAAATATGCTTTTTTTAGGGATGAGGAAGGTTAGCTAACTGTGAAATAAAAGAACAGTCCCCACAAGACTATCTTCACTTCTGTCATCAATGGAGATTTTGGGAGTTCCTCAGCTCACCTTAGGTTTGAAAATGTGCTAAAAGGACTCACAAAACTCACTGACAGGTGTTATATTCATGGTAGCAGTTTATGATATGATATGATAGCTAAAAAATACAGATTAAAGTCAGTCCAATTAGCTGGGCTTGGTGGCTCACGCTTGTAATCCCAGCACTTCGGAAGGCCAAGGCAAGAGTATTGCCTGAGCCCAGGGATTTGAGACCAACCTGGGCAACTTGGTAAGCCCTCATCTCTACAATAAATAAAAAAGGTGATGCATGCCTGTAGTGACAGCTTCTTGGGAGACTGAGAGGGAAAAATTGCCTGAGCCCAGCAGATTGAGGCTCTCGTAGCTGTGAGCGTGCCTCTGCACTCCAGTCTGGGTGACAGAGTGAGACCCTGACTCAAAGAATGAATGAATGAATGAATCAATCAATCAATCAATAAAATCAGTCCAAGAATGACACATAAGATAATCCAGGAGGATACCAAACACAAAACTTCCTATTATCCTCTCTTATGGCGTCAGAACTGTAGTACTCTCTTGGAATTGATGTGTGACGATATACATGGAGTATTGCCAACTGGGGAAATTCACTGGAGCCGTGATGTCCATAGTCTTTCAGGGAACTTGATCATGTAAATCTGGTTGACTGCCCATGTAGTTGACCTCCATCTCCTGCACCTCAGGAGGTCAAGTTAGATTACCGAAGCCTTCATCCTATCACATTGTTAGAGTGTCTCAGAGACCACTATCTGTTACTATCTGGTTGCCCTAAAGCCCTTAGATGAACAAATGCACTCCTATCTAAAACTGACATTCCAAAAGCTTAACAGTCACCTCCCAGAAGCTGGTAAAGTTAAATTCTCTTTTTGGACAAAGTTAAATTCTTTACCTCACAGGGACTGATATCTCAAACTCTAGTCCCAATTCTGCTAGAACTTGACTTTGTGAGTTTGACAAGTTACTTCTCTTTGGGTTCACAGTCTCCTCATATATGAATTGAGGGAATTAATTTTGTATTCCTTTTGTAATGCCTAAATTTACAAATCTGAATATGCAGAGACATATACGTATGTATAGAAACTCCTAGAGGCAATGTGTATAGCCACTTAGGTACAGATTTCACAGTTCTGGGGAAATAATTTACATGGACCGTAGCTGTGCTCCAGACATGTACACATATAAATATACATGTACATTTAAGAGATTTTAAGATGTGGTATCTATTTTTTTATTTGTGTTATTAGAATGCAGCCATTTTTATAATAATATGGGGACCTCTTGAAGGCAGGAAGGATAGAAATAGTTATGAGATTGATACTCTGATCCAGGTTACTTCCAGAAGATACTGTGATATATTTAATTTTATATGAATTGCAAAATCTTTCGATTTCTGAGCAAGTCCTCAATATCTAACAACAAACACACTGAATGGTAATTTAGTGTGAAATGAGCCTCATCCATACATTGTTGCCAAATTAATATGAAATAAATAACAACAAAGCTGATGTCAAAAGTTGCTGGGCAAACTTTCCAAAAATTAAAGCATGTTAAAACAGGAGAGAAAAAAATAGATAATAAACAGGGCTTTGTTCTTGTTTGGTCAAGATGATATAAGCAGTTCCTGGGACTTCTGGAATCTTTCTTTCTACAAGCCATTAGGCAAATGGCCAGTATCCTGTTATCCCCATTACAGACAAAGACTAACAAGATGCAAACTTACATTTTAATAACCTTTATGTCTAGAATAAGCAATATATTTGCTTTGTTGTCTCTTTCATTGGCCCTAATCTTAAAATAGTGTAATATTAATTTCTGCCTCATACAATTTTTTGATGATTAAATTACATATAGCTCTTAAGTTATTATCATAGTACCTGGTATACAGTAATTGATCAATAGTTATTAATTGCTCTCATTTATATTTTAATTCAAATAATAAATTGTGATTCTAGTTCCATGCTGATTTTACTAATATTAAAGACAAAATATGTTTTTGTTTACTCTATAATAATAAATATTACTGTTACATTTATCTTGCTAATCTTATTTATCTTTTCCCATTTATTTGTTCTATATTTTTTCCTTTCTCTCTTCCTCTAGTATTACTCATTTTTCCTTTCTTTTTATTACTTTCTCTCACTTCATTTTATTACCTTCATGTTAGTTTATTGTTTCCTAATTTTACTTAATAAGATTACTTGTGTAATTGGTCAGTAACACTAGTTTTCTTAAAGAGAAAAATAAGAAGACTAGCCTGAACCAATGTGCAACTATCTTCCAGGGTCAGAATTTAGTTGGCAATGAGCCTGCATGACATGGTAATATGGACATTACAGACCTGCAAATTGAAAAGATTTGGGGACAAGAGGCAATATTCAATTAGTTTTGTTCCTGATGTTATTAGGGGTTTTTTTTAAAAACAAATTTGTCATCTCACACCATGATTATGCAGAAAGTTATGGAATGTTAGTTTAGGGACATTTATGTAGAAGGCTTAGAGAAAAGGCCAAAGTAGTTGTCAAATAACCATACTTTGTACGTATTTGGTCACATTTTTAGAGATTATGAGGGAAAAAAGTTTTGAATGCATATAGCTTTGCATTTTAGTTCTATTAAAGCTTTTTGTTTCAAGGACTGTTTTAAATTACTGCAAAAATGGCCCTTCTACCTGTAGCTAGCAGAGTTAATTGAATGCCTGAATTGTTTCTGTATCTTTATATCACTCATTCATGATGAAAATTGGTAGGGTTTTGCTAAGGTAAGGAGCAACACACAGGAATGAAAATAAATGACAGTGAGTGTTATTTATTAATATTTTCAGTTCTGATTTTCAAATATTTAATTTTCATCAGTAAAAGTTACTTGTTTTAAGAAAACCAACTATTTATTTTAATTGAGCATAAAATCTACTACAATAGGTGTCATTGCACAAATAATGATTGTTTTCTTTGGCTTTGTTTTTGCAGCTTTTTTTCACTTTTGACTTAATAAAGTATAATTTTCAGAAAGATGAACCCATGAGAAATAAACAGAACTGGTGTAGTCATGTGAAAAAAGGTAAGACTTGTATTTGAAGATGTCTTTTCAAGCAAAGTTCCTGAACATCTATAAACAGTCATTTCTCAGTGTCCTTGGACGACTCATTTCAGGAAAATTTTCAGATGTTCAAGTTTCTTATAAAAAAATCATGTAGTATTTGCATATGACCTATGTACATCCTCCCATATAATCTAAGCAGATTACTTAAAATACCTATGTAAATACAATGTAATGCTATGAAAATAGTTAATATACTGTATTTTCATTTGCATTATTTTTATTGTTGCATCATTATTTTATATACTTTTTTTCTTGAATATTTTCTATCTGAAGTTGGTTGGACCCATGAATGTGGAATCACAAATATGGAAGACCAATTGTAATTGTTACTGAATTTCAAAAAAGGAATGACAAAGTCTGCTATGTAATTGTACTTCTTTGGAATTTAATGCAGGTGGAATGGTTTAATTATTAGATATTAAAACCCCAGATGGGTCCCTTAGATGGTAAACTATTAAAATTAAAAAGTAGTTACTTTTTGGCTTATATATTTTTTTAATCTACCACTTCTTGTTTGTAACAGTGGCGTATGTCTAATGTCCTGTATCACTAACATAAAGATTAGTGAATTAGTTTATGATTCTAGATATAGTGGAAAGTCAGACTGACATGGATTTAAACCTGGACTCTTACACCTAGAAACTATGCAGCTTTCAGCAGGTTAGTTGACCTGTCTGGGTCTCATTTCCTTCATATGTAAAGAAGAGGTGATAATATTTATTTCATGTGGTTATCATGGGCAGTTAAATGAGATGTCTGAGGGTTCCTGGTATGTGACTTGTTACCTTCTCCCTCTTCTCTTCTCCCTCTCACTCCCCTTCTCTTCCAAAGTAGACTTTCTTATAATTTTAGGTTAGAAATCTTAATGAAAGCAAGTGCCCCAGTTAACTTCTTGCTTCATATATTCAAATTGAAAAATAAAATGTAGAGATGTGCATTTCAAATATCCAGTCTGAGTAAATCAGGCTGGAAATAATTTGTACTGTCTCAGAATATTTTTAAACAATATTTCAGCAATAACTTCCTAAATATTTACTTCAAATGTGAAGATAATGGTGGCAAACATTCCTTTTAAAAATTTTTCTGGTAACTAAAAGATTTTTAAAGACATAAGCTATATCTATTATAAAACACAAATCTCCTAAATCTCTGAATTTAAAGCCTAAAGATATTTAGCAAACATATTCCTCCAGTTCAACTCTGGAGACACTGTCCAAGAAAAGGCAATTTCTGAAGAGACTGCAAAGAACGTAGACTCACTTTTCTAGTGTTTTATTTGTTATTATTGCAATAATGTCTGGTATTGAAGCTTGATTCCCATAAGTGTGCTTATGTAACCTCAGAGTTTCTTAAAATGCTACTTGATCTTAAATATCTACTTTGCTGTTTTGGAACTCTTATCATGAGTTACTAATCAATATTTTTTTTTCTATTAAGGCATCGTGTCTTCACAATGTAAATTATGGCTAGACAGAAAAGATATAAATATACTGTGACCTATTTAAACACTTATCATAATTTATCAGAGAAGAAACTGTCACCTGTGTCCTGACAAAGAAAAACAAATAACATCAATTTTAAAGGAGATGTAAAAGTTTTGAAAAATTCTGAAATATAGGGAATGCAGATGGACAGAATATATGATGGAAGTGAGACTTTAGAGTGAGATGTACTAATTACAACAATCTCTAGTTCTTACATTTGACAGCTTTATAACATTGGATGGATTCCTTTTTTGCCTCCGTTTCTTTACCTGTAAAATGAAGTTATTATCAGGGCCTTTCCAGCAGGCTTATAATGAGGATTAGATGGGCTGCATTTGTAAAACGCTCAGAGTAATGACTGGTACCCAGAAAGTGCTCGATAGATGTAACAGTGATTATGATGATGACGACGACGATGACAATATGATGGTGTTGATGATGACAGTGTTGATGAGAATGATGATTATATGGTCCTCTGCTGGATCACAGCAGCTTTGATTTGGCTAGTGACCTGTGAGCCTATAGAAGCCAGAATGCCAAGAAAGAGTGGGGAAAATGGGAGTTGAATAAAGAGTGTTAAAGTGACAGAAATGCTTTACAGTTTGTTGGATCCAATCCCATCTAATGAGCCACATGGATGGTGCATCTCTTTACAGCAGGCAAAACAGGTAGACAGTAACCTGGTAGACATCTGGGGCAGTGATTGCTGCTCTCTTTCATCATCTCTCCTTCTCTTAGAAGTAGTTTTTACCTTGAAAATTGCTGGGGAAAATCTTGATTAAATTGAGTAACTTTGTTTTGAAAATTATTTTGGATCATGAGTCTAAACATAAGTGAAACTAACAAGTATGACAAGGTAGATTTTTTTCAAAATGTCATCTCTTTGCCATCAAGGATTTCCAGAATAGCATCCCAGGGGTATAAGCCATTTTGTAAATTTCTAGTAACATATTAATTGGATCAAATATAGTATAGTACGGAAACCTTGACATAAAATCCTAGAAACTGGAATTGAGTTCTGGGTCCATTTCTTTCTCTGATTTGGGGAATTTATCCTTCTGGGCCCTAGTTTATTTTCTGTGAAATAGGGGTTATAATATCAATTTCAAAATATTTCTATGAAGAATAAGCAAGATGACAATTTTAAGATTCCTGAGAAGTTCCCAATAAGTAAAATTCTATCATTTATTTAAATTATTATTATGGTTGCTATTTTTATAGAAGTCAATATTATCTGTGTTAACATCTATATATCCAAGACAAAAATTTCCATTAGTCTATCCACCCAGGAGAAAAAAGAAATTTAACATTCCTTTTCTTTCTCTCCAAATCCCTTTTTGTTGTTTTTTTCCAAAGTAGTTTGTGTTTGTGGTAATCTATGAAAAATGCACTAGATGTAGGCACTAAGAGTAAGTGTCGTCAAATATAGAAATACATTCAGAGGAAAGTGAAATGAGCAACATTGGTTGTCCTGGCCAGATATCATCTAGGCACATGCATGGTGTGGGTAATGATAGTTTTAATCAGACTGCAAACATCCTCTTCTTTCTTGTAGGAGAACCTGGACTTCTCATTTCTCGAGTACATGCAAAGAATCCTTTCTTTGGTTATGCTGGGTCTTACAAGCACACAAAAAACAAATTGTTGTTTGATGTTTTTAAGAAGGGAGATATTTACTTTAACACAGGAGACTTGATGGTCCAAGATCAGGAGAATTTCCTTTATTTTTGGGACCGTATTGGAGACACTTTCAGGTATGAAATATCATGGGATGCAAAGCCTGCCCTGTAATTGTAAACCGTACGTCTATAGAAACATCGGAGACCACATGCACTTTAGACAGAGCACTTTATTTCCATGTCTTTTCATTTAAAAAGTTATTAGCCACCTGTTTCTAGACTGAACCACAAATTAAGTTTTGATATAAAATTTTATAATTATTTTAATAAATTACTTTAGTCCAAATAAATGAACTCCTTATTTAGGATATAAAACTGGCAGACAGATGTGAAATCTACAAGATAAGATTAGAACAGAAAATTGATTTGGTCAAATATGTCCTAATTCTTAACCTAATGATAAAAATATTGAGACAGCAGAAATTCCCTTTCTTATATTTCCTTTTTCATCACCCAAGTTTATTTTAGGCTTATGAAATTATTTTTCCATACTACTTAATGACTAGTAAAGTAGTCAACAATTGCTTGAATGAATAAATAACTCATAATCCCTACATCTTTGCCATCTTGTACTATGTGGTAAGCTTATTTTCTATAAAACTATATTAAAATATTCATTCATATGAATCAAAGAAGTCAAAGGGATTAATATCTAGAAATTAAGGTGGGTTTGTATACTAAAAGAGAATCATAGCTTTACATTCAGTTATTTATATCATAATCACTAGAGGCAGGGAATGCTTTGAATTTAATTATTGTTATTTTACAATATAAAGATTTTTGTAATAATAGTCCTTATCATGTCATCCTATGTTTGTTGTGTTTATGCTTATATTTTATAGTAACCAATTTGTATCAATGAGACAAAATAATTTTCACTAAAAGACAGATGCTGATCTTGCTGAATTTGCAACAAAGTACTTCCTTAGAAATGCCCTTCATTTTGAAAACTGCAATTAGTGTTAGTCACTAACTACTTGCACGTAGCCAAATGCAAGGCATTGCAACTAAAACTGGGTACCCAGTTCTTCAAATACAGGTGCACTAACTGGAACTTATTCTTCATTTAGATGGAAAGGAGAAAATGTTGCAACCACAGAGGTTGCTGATGTTATTGGAATGTTGGATTTCATACAGGAAACAAACGTCTATGGTGTGGCAGTGTCAGGTATAAGTATATTTCAGATTTTGGAAGGATTCTCAGGACAGAATGTGTCACTGTTCTTTAGTTTTACAACAATTGTACTAATTCAACATTCTAATTTAGTGTATTAAGAGAAATATCTTATTCTTATCTTGGCAAGTAATGCCTTTGACCAAGCTAACTTCATGGTTATATCAGAGGAAAGGTACCAACTGAATTTTAATGCCTACGTGTATTTTTAAGCAGAGTTTGAAAACTCTGGTCAGTGACTCACTGTTTGAAAACAGTTGCAGCTTCTTATTAGTCTATTATTTTGTGCTTTATGACTAGTGTTTGTGCATACTACTAACAGGAAAGTGTACTACTTTCAAGGTTTAGTAATACTGACTTGTACTTTTCTTTTGAGAGAATGCATATAACTCGTTTTATAGTTTTTATTTTTTATTTTGAAGATGGGTACAATTCAGGGTTCGGGATACAAACGATCATTATGTAGGTACCCTTGTTGATGATGTGTGCTCCTCCTCCCCTGACATTTTCCCTCTACTGCCAATCCCATCCCACCACCCCCTGCAGTTTCCTACTACTGTCAATCCCCAAATTTATTTTAAAATTATCTTTATAAATATGTATATGAGGATCATCTCATGATGTTGAAAATGATATATTGAAAGTGATGAGTTTGAAATTACAGGACAACCACTCCCTACTTTCCAGCTGATGTTTGTAAGTACAGGAGCTACTTAGGTAGGAAAGCAGAGGAAAAGACAGTTTATTTAATAAATGGCCACTAGATGTTGAAAAAAGTTTCCAGGATGTTCTAATTTCCTGTAAAGATCAGTAGGTGACCTGATAAGCAGTCAATGACCTGCATAATTATTAATTATGAAAATACCAGTTTCTAGTTTCCTAATTTAAAAATACACCCTTTATGTTTTGCATTAATGCTTCAAACGTGTATTTTTGCTGGAACATGTTTGCCTTTGAATAAATAATTTATTAATATTTGTGTCAGTGGTAGTAGGATGCAATTTATAGATAATTGATGTTGTTTCTCATTCTATCTATTTCATTTCTATACTGTAGACAACTGGAGATAGACACTGGTATTCTCCGTTCTTGAATTATTTCTAGGGAGTAAATCATATGCTCAGAAAGGACACAGCCTCTTTTATTCTATTGTTGTCCTGTTATCACTGCAATAGATTTAATGTCTCTATTTGTGACAATTAGTATGTCACAGGATTATTTCTTAAAATTCATCCAATGCCTATGAAATTGACTCTATTTTAATTTTTTCAGGTTATGAAGGAAAAGCAGGAATGGCTTCTATTATTTTAAAACCAAACAAGTCTTTAGATTTGGAAAAAGTTTATGAACAAATTGTAACATCTCTACCAGTTTATGCCTACCCACGATTTTTAAGAATTCAGGTAATTTTACTGACTAAATTTACTATCAAATTTAATGCCAGAAACCGAGAGGTAGTTTAATTGCAAAACAATATTGTATCCTTTAAATAATATATATATTTTCTAATATAAAGATATTAGAAAATTTCAAGAGGACTGAGAAGCATGGGAATGTAGAGTTGCTGATTGGTGCCATATTTGAAGCCTAGTTATAGAGGGAGCATAGCAGAATGCTAGGGCAAATCTATTTTGGTCCTAGTTATAGAACTGCTCTTTTCCTCTTTAGTAAAATCCTTAGAACAAAATGATGGTCTCAGTGATAAAGCAAGCCCAAACTACATCTTACTCTCTTATCTATAAAGACGTTTGATGTTATGTGTCTAAATTTATTTCCATCAAGCAGACATCAGGAGTCTGAAGGATATATGCAGAATCTAAAGACACATGGCTTTAAGCAATCCCACTTTGACTTTTTATTGTCATTCTGTCCAACCCTCCTATCACCTGGCCCTTATATTTTTGGGAATTCTGGGTTTATTTATTTTGGGATGAGGGCTCTCTCATTAGGTTGCTGGCATAAGGTACAGTAAAAAGAAAACAATCTTGCTCAACTACTGGGTGACTTTTCTTACTCATTTACTCAACCATTCATTTATCATTGTGCCTTAAATATAATTTTCCAAAGTTAGTACTCATCATCTCTTAACATCCAATCACACAGACTTTTTCTGAATACATTTGTTCTCTCACTAGTAGATCCCTACTGAGGCAATAGCTGGTGTCATATTCAGTGTTAAACCATTTGCTAAGCAATCCTTGTAGCCAAGTTACTGCTTGTCCAATGAGACACCTCATCTGAACTGTCATGAATACATATTTTGTTTGTCTTATTTTTAAGCTTCTATGTAGATGTCTCAGATTTTCATAACAATTTTCTGAACATTAAATGTAAATAAACATGAAGCAGAAGTAATATATTTTAATTGAAATTTTTATTGAGATAGTTATAGATTCACATGCAGTTAAAAGAAATACAGAGAGATTGCATATTCTTCACCCAGTTTGCTCCAAGGATGACATTTTGCAAATATATCACAACTATGATATTGACATAATCTACTCACCTTATTAAGATTTCTCCTGTCTTGCTTGTACTTATTTGTGTGTGTATTTTCTATACACTTTGTTACCTGTATAGCTTCATGCATCCATGACTACATAAAGATATGAACAATTGCAACACCACAAAGATCCCTTATGTTGTTCTTTTATGACCCCACTCAGCTCCCTCTTGACCCTCCTCACCACACCTTGTAAGTGATACATTTTGATCGAGTAGAACATTGATAGACCAGATGATATTTTAAGCCTTTTTCCATAGAGTAACTTAAAATTCAATTTCATGAAGCAGAATAAATATTTTACCATAAGACTACTTTAGAAGACTAGATTAGCTTTGTATACATTTAGAAAATATTTTAAGATCATTAAGCACCTAAAAAGAACATGGGCCATCACTGTTATGTTTATATTACTATAGCAAAACACAGAACTTGCTATAGTTAGCAGAAAGTCTGAAACTTAGTCAGCAGTCAAATATTTATTTAATAAATGAATTATAAGTGGTCTCATAAAAGGAATGCACAGTGAGAGTTACTTCTAACAAAATGAGTAAAACAACTTACTTATTAAAAATCTACTTAGCACAAATTTTTAAAAAGGACCCTTTGCCAATGATTTACAAAAAAATTTGAAATGTGACAATACTCATTACAGTTTAGATATAACTTTGTCCCTTCATTCTGATTCTGGAAACACAAATTGTTACAACCTTTCTAGAAAACAATTTGGTAACATATGGTCAGACGCTTAAGCATTTGCATCAATTTTGACCTAGTAATTTTACTTCCAGAAATTTATTTTCAGGCGGTAATTAAAGATGCATAAATATTATATATGAAGATATTCTTCAAAGGATTATTTATAGTAGTACAAATTTTGCTATTCTGTATAAGGTCAAGAATAAGGGCAAGGTTAATGAAAATATGATAATTTCATGTGATCTTATAAAACTATTCTTTAAAAGTTCTATTTGAAAGAAAATTACAGGACCTAGGAAAATACACTTTATATAATATTGAGCTTAAAAATGGCAGAACAACAAACTGTATAAACATTGTGAGCTTCTAATTTTTTTCAAAAAAGAGAAAAAGGCTATGTGTGCCTGAAGAACCACATACAACTTGACGATCATAGTGCTGGGGGGCAGGAGAAAGAAAGGGAGTAGGAGGAAGGAAGGGAGAAACTCAGGGAAGGGGGCTCAAAGTGAAGTTGACTTGAATTAGTCCAGAAGGATGAAGAAAAATGGCAAAGTTATGAGTCTGTATATGTCATCTCATTTAAACAGGTTATTTTTCCATGCCTGAAACTCTTACAAAGACATACACTGCTATCTTCTTTGAACACTTGAAATCAGAGAGTCTTAAACTTTCTAGACTCATGGTCCCTTATAAGTACGTGGTATTTCAGTAATTTTTTTCATAGCACTCTTGGATCAAAACAAATACCTAAACATTTGTTTATTTACCAGTTAAGTTCAAAAAAATTTATAAACATTTAGGTCTAACAAATTACTAGCCATTTGAAAAAATAATTCATATAAATTGAACAAAAAATACTTTCATTTCATTTTCTAATAAGTACAATCACATGCTAAAGAGACGTAAGTTGGGCATTACACAATTTTTCAGACCTTGCAAAGAGATGGGACTGGACAGGAACAATCTAATTTCATGTTCTACAATGATTTTTGGCTGTACTTGCTTTATATCTTAGCATCCACCAAAATCCAGTTTTTCAACATTATGACATCATTGAAACGTATGTACTGCAAACTACTACTGAAACTGTGAGTTACTACGTTGAGCTAGTAGTTTGCAAGTGGTGACCAACAGATAGATATCACTGGGTTTCTCTTGAAAACTTAAGATATTCTGTGAACATCCTGGAAATTCATCTTGGTGCACCAAATTTGGGAACACATATTTTAGAGTATTCTGTACCCCTATGGTGCTTTTTAGTAATCTTTTTGTAACAGATTTGTGTATATAAACAGATTTTGTATATTATAAATTTCTGTCTTTTATATTGATGTCTAATAATATCCTCTATACATAATATTGTATTGTCATTGAGTTAAAAAGATAGACTGTGTTTTAAACATACTTGTGATTAGTTTATGTTTATAATTCTTATATACTAAATGAGTTAATATTTGAGTAAAGTTTATAAGTAAGTCAAACTAAAGATTTAACTGTTCTACAAGGTACTTTTTATTTCTAATGATAAATTATTAATAGTAAATATAGAGAAGATCATTAGATATAAATGTTATATTTAAATATTACAGTCTATAGTACTAAGTATTCTACTTATGTGTTATAACTATTATAGAATGATTGCACTCATCCTGCTCATTGTTTTATAGGAAAAGATGGAAACGACAGGGACATTCAAGCTACTGAAGTATCAGTTAGTGGAAGAAGGATTTAATCCACTGAAAATTTCAGATCCACTTTACTTCATGGATAACTTGAAAAAGTCTTATGTTCCACTGACCAAGGAACTTTATGATCAAATAATGTTAGGGGAGATAAAATTTTAAAATTTTGTATATATGGGTTTTTCATATACTTTTCTAGGAAGAGTGAGAGGATAGTGTGTGATTCTCTACTATGAAATGGGGATGGGAGCTAACACTAATTAAGCCTGTACTATATTTCTTAATATGCAAGATAATTTCTTTAATTGAATTTTAATGTGTTTTAGTTGATATAAACTTAGTTGATTATTCTTTGCACCCACTTGGGGATGCAGTGCATAAGTATAATATTTGCCTTAATATTAAAATTTTTAAATAAGTGGCTAACAATTTAGACAATCACCAAAAATGTACTTTCTGATCTATAAAGTTTCTAATGTTGAGTAAATGGATAAATTTTATTCAAATATTTTATTTTTATGTGTTTTGTCTTATAACTCAATAAAATAATATTTATTACAAATATGTGTTGAGTTTTTGTTCTGATGTTTTTTTATAGTAAACTTCCAACGAAAGCTGACCAAGTGCATGTACTCATATCTCCTTTATCTTAAACTCATCTTAAGATGATAGAAGAAATATAAAAATATGAAATAGCAGGATAGGAAAACTGGTAAGTCCAAAGCATTTAGAAATTTTTGAAAATATATAAATGGGATCAAAACTGATGACAAAATCCAACAGAGGTGTTGAACCACTATTAATAAGAGAAAAAATAGACTGGAATAGAACCCTGATATTATCACCAGGATCAGAGACAGAAAAAGTTGCATGTTTGAATGAGTTTGTAAGTAGTTAACTGGGAAATATATTACAAGGACAAAGTAATGAGCACAAATATACTTAACTCAAACTGGAAATACCAGGCTCCAGTGTTTCCTTCATTTAGAACCACAAAAATGACTCTTTTAATAAGGTGAGATATCTTTCATAAGAGGGCACTGTGGAGCCAGACTGAGAAGTGGAATAGTACCAGCAAGAGGGCCCCGTCGCCATGAACCTAACTTCCTGTGCAACCAAATTGAAAGTCTGCCTTCATGGGGTCTTCCATGTGCTAAAGAGCTTGCTTTCATTGGAACAGAATTTATAGAGAGTTTATTTTTCTAAGTGTTAGGAAATGATATGTTATAAAATTAAAACATTTTTAAATGTAAAGGTTAGCCACAAATAGCATAGAAATAAAATACTGAACTTTCAAATGAGAAAATGTAATCAATTTTGTAAAGAACAGCAAATTTTCAAAGAGAAACAACAACAAAAAAGATCAATAGATAAAGTAAGTCTAAGCATACCCATATCCCAATGTATAAATCAGAATGAATTTTTTTTTGGAAAGTTTCAATGAATGAATAAATAAATTGACATTTAATTTTTGTATCTACTATTTGACTGTTTTGGACTTTTTCATTAAAGACTAGTTTGCCTTTATGTATACATATTAAATTTGTAGGTGCCATGTAAATGCTATAAATCTGGGTGAATCTTTTTAACTTATTTTCTGCTCTTTAAAAACTTTGAAGACTGGGTCATAATAAATATCACCCCTTTGCCACAACTCCCTTTGCCAAATTCATTGCAACGAAAAGCAAAATGTTATCGCGAGAATAATTCATTTAAAAATGAGGAGCTGGGGGGAAATATAAGTAGATGAAACACGAGAATTATGGGGAAATAGACATAGGAAATGAATGAAATTAAATTTCAAATAAACCATGGAGGAAGAGAGGGAAACAAAGCATCAAACTTATGAGTTTAAAGCTACTTACTTCAAAGGCAAAAAAAAAATTCCAACCACACAGTAAAAATATATATAAACCAAGATGAGCCTCTGTGTAAGTATCAGGATATTTAATTATAGAAAATTGTGTCCAGGAATTTCCTTTGTCTTTTCCTTGCTATAGAAAACATTTTCATCAGCAGACAAAATAATTCAAGACATAAAAGATAAAATTTGAAAATAATACATAAATTTTAAAACTTCTTTAAGAGACAATAAGGATTAAAGCTTTCAAAGAGCTAAAAATTAGGAGACAATAATTAGAAGCTAGGAAAAAAATAGTCACCACATTTATAGCACACAAAAACATTTTCAAATAGAAAGGCAAAATAATATTAATGAGAAATATATGAGAACAGGCAATGTGGGGAAATTTTAGCCCCCAGTACTTCCATCAAGAGTGTGCATGAGTATAGCTATTCTGGAAAGCAATATGGCAGTATTTATCAAAATATTAAATGTGTATACCATTAAACATGGCATTCTACTTTTAGAAAACACATAATACCTTAAAGATATTATGTGCACATGTACAAAGAGTGTTAAGCAATGAATCTTTATTATTTTTAATATACAAATAATTTGGAAAGCACTTATCCATCAAAAGGAAGAAAAATGATAACACCATATGGTTGAATGTTATGTGATCATGAAAAAAAATTAAGTGAGCCAATATATACTGATTTATAAAGTCATACTGTAAAGTAAAAAAAGCATATTGCTGAATAATTCATACTATATGATAAATTTATGTAAAAGATATAAAACTATATTTCTATATGTACTTGTGTATTTATAAGTACATGGTAAAGTGTCTGGAAAATATTATATTAAAAAAGTGGTTAGCTTTGGTGGAAGCAGTTGTATTTAGGTATTGAGGAAGGAGTTTTGTGAGGAATAGAAGGGAGATGATGGGAAATGAAAGAGATTTTAATTTTTACTTTATATATTTTAGAAGTATTTCATAATAAAATATTTATATTATCTGAGGAACTTAAAATTAGTAAATATATGAGAAGAAATATTTATTTAGTATCTTTCATTATTATACAATGTTTTTCCAACCACAAGCTTTTATAATTTTAAAATTTCTTAAATTAAAATTCCTTAAACAAACAAGAACAAGATTTGTTCTATAAATATAACTACATTATCATTATAATAAGCACACCTAAAAAACAGAAAAGAGGTGAATTATAAATATATATCTAGTGCTGACCACAATGACAAAAACCATATGGTGATATCAACTTCTTACAAAGTAGAATTCAAAGGACGAATATTAATGAAACAAACATATAGTAATAAAAGTTAAAATCCCTTAAAAATTTCAGGTACAAAGTATTTAATTTAAAAAAGAGGGCAACCCCCTCGAGTCCCCTCCCACTGTGGGAGCTTTTCAGTCCTCTCAATAAATCCTGCTTTCAAAAAATAAAAAAGAAATGGAATTGTAATATGCAAACAAAAATGTATAAAATAAATATTTCAGCAATAGTACCATCATAAGTATGAATATAAATCTTAACATACTTATATATGTATCTGTGTTTCTATGTGTGAAAAGTAGCATGGGGAAAAGGAAGGGAGTATAGTTTATTCTCCCATGATTTCTTTTCAAATCCTCATGAATATTTTTCCAAAATGTATTAGATATTAAACAACAAAGAATATCTTAAGTAAATGAAATATATGTATATAGGCTACATTTTCTCCTGACAATATAATAAAACTAGATAGCCCTAACAAAATAATACTTAAATATATAACACTTGGAGATTACAAAATATTAGACCTACACTAGCATGAAAATGAAAATGAAAATTATACTATATTTATAAATAAATAAATTATTTAAATTATTTGTTCTCCAAATATTATTGAATATGTATCTGATGACTAGGATGATCCTGATTATATAAAGGTGAACCAAAAAAAAAAAAATCTCCATAGTTGTATAGCTTATTTTCCAGTGACAGGAAGAAGGCCAATAAATAAGATAACTTCAGATAATTATACATTTAATAACAAAATTAAAACAGGGTGATTAAATAAAATGTAAGCAAGTGAATCAATATTAAATATCTTTGTCAGAAAAGAGCTTTCTGAGGGAGCAAATTGAGCTTCAAATAATTGAGGCACTAGATATGCTAAGAAAAGAGCGATTCAGGCAGAGGAAACACCAAAACCAAAAGCCTGGAGATAAAAAGAAACTTGACCTTTTCCAGTCAGTGTTTCTAGACAAAATTGTTGGTTAAATAACCAGGTGAGTCAAGTATAGGATTAGGGGAGTTAGGAAGAAGCCATATCACCTAGGTGAGGCCAAGATTGGACATTAAGTGCAAGAGAAAGCTATTAAAGAAATTTGAGCAAAAAATGGCATATGAATTCTATTAAAAAATAATTTGAATAATTCTGCTTCTGGTAATGGCTAAGTAAGCTCTCATCAGACTATTCCATAGGCAAAAACACTAAACTCTGAACAAAATATGAAAAATAACTACTTTCTATTGAGTGCTCTTGAAAGCAACAAAAACTGTCAACTCTGGATCTTAAGTGACACTTTAAAGAAGAAAATGATGTTATATGAATTTCCTTCTATCAAAAGTCTTTAAACCAGTAGGAGACTCCACACTGCATGATGGGAAGTAAAATTCTAGTAGATAACATAAAACCTTACTGACATGAAAAAACAGAAAACAGAGCTTGGAGCAACCACAGTGATTAAAAAGTGAGTGGCAATTTCCAGAAAGAAAAGAGTCAGAGAGGTATCTTCAAATTGGGGAAATACATTTTTTCTTTATCTTTGGCTGTTATTTAAATGATTCATTCATGGGGCTGATTCTGAAATATCTATCTGCAAAACCTATAATAGCCTGCTGAAATAGCTTGCTTGATATAAGTAACTACATTTTGTAACAGATCTTCCATCTTAGCCTAGAGATGACCTCCTTATGTAACCTTTTTTTGAGTTGGAGTCACTGTCGCCCAGACTGGAGTGCAGTGGCCACTCCCGCCACCTCAGCCTCGACCTAGTAGCCAGAATTACAGGCATGCGCTACCACACCCAGCTGATTTTTTTGATTTATTGTAGAGATGAGGTCTCGCTGCCCAGGCGGGTCTGGAACCCAGGGCTCAGGCAATCCACTCACCTCGGCCTCCCAAAGTTGCGGGGTTACAGGCTGAGCCACCGAGCCCGGCCTATGTTTACCTTTAAAAGACCCACTACTCAGTCTGTTCACTGCCAAGAGCCATTTGGGACACTAGTCCACTGTCGTCGCCAGCATCAATAAAGGACCCTTAATCCGACCTTCTCTGCATGTTGTCATCATTTCTCATAATCCAGCTATAACAATTCCAAATACCCCAGTTAAAGCTAAAACATTTGATCTGAGATTTGAGATGCTGCCAAAGAAAAAATTTACAGTTTGAGTTCAATCACTTTAATTTCCCACTAAAACGAAACTAAACAAAAAATAAACACTTCAGAATAATATAATAGAATTTAGTAATAACAAAATATGGCATTAATACTGCTCAAGATGCAATCAAAATTACTAGACATGAAAACAAATAGGAAAATATGACTCATTCTCAAGAGAATACAATCAGTGGAGACTGATATAACCCAGGTTTTGGA